CTTGAATGAAGGCTAAGTTCATCTCCACCCATCTCAGGAGTTTGGATGCTTCTCTCTGCAATGTGAAGGATCTCAAGCCTCCCTGTTTGTTTAGATAGGCCTCCGCGGAAATGTTGTCTGTGCGGATCAAAGTATGTTTTCCTTTGATCTGATGCACAAAGAACCGAAGGGCAAGATGTACAGCTCGAAGTTCTAACAGGTTGATCAACAGTGTCTGCTCGATTACAGACCATTTCCCTTGTGCTGGTTGATTCAGGAGGGTGGCTCCCCAGCCTTCTAGACTTGCGTCGGTGAATAGTTGAATCCTGTCCTGGATCCAGAAACTTTTTCCTTTGGTCAGGTTGGATATGTTGGTCCACCAACGAAGGCTCGTCTTTACTTGTAATGGAACCTTCAGAGAGATGTTCAATTTCAATGCGATGGAGGATTGGAAGGGTCGTAGGAATAGTTGGTTGACCAAGGCCTTGATCTTTCGTGCTTTGTGCAGTGGAAGATACAATGAGGTCCCTTTGGTGTCTATGATCACGCCTAGATGCTCCAGACGCCGAGATGGTTTCAGGGAGCTCTTGTGCATATTTACAAGGAACCCGAATTCTTTGAGGCATAGTAACGTTTTTTGCGTGTCGCATAGCGATTGCCCCAGAGTCCTTGACCGTAACAGTAGATCGTCTAGGTATGGATGAATATGGATTCCTTGTTCCCTTAGCGCAACAACAGGTGTACCATCATCTTCGTGAATATTCTGGGAGCCGATGAAAGACCGAAAGGGAGTGCCTTGAACTGGAAGTGGTGTTCCCCCAAACAGAAATGAAGAAATCTCCTCTGTGATGGAAAAATTGGTATGTGCATGTAGGCTTCTGTTAAGTCTATTGATACGAGAAACTCTCCCGGCTGGAGGGACTCTACAATAGACCTGAGGGTCTCCATCCTGAAGTGTTTGAACTTGACGTACTTGTTTATGAACTTCAGGTCTAAAATCACCCTCCAGTCCCCAGTCTTTTTGGGGACAGTGAAGAAAATCGAATAGACTCCCTGCCCCAGGTGTTCTATTGGGTCAGGTTCTATTGCATGAATGTCCAGAAGGTGGGATATGGCTGACCAAGTTCTGTCTCGCTTTATGCTGTTTTGGTGTATTGGAGAGGCGACGAACCTTTGAGGAGGGATTTGCAGAAATTCTATCTTGTAGCCTTCTGAGACCACTTCCATGGTCCAGGAGTCTGAATTGGATCTGGCCCATGCTTGAGTGATGTGTGTCAGTCTCCCCCCTACTGGTGGCTGTCGATAGTCATGCTCTCGCAGGTTTGGGGCTCTTCTCACCTTTGTCTTGCCTGAAGAAGTTTGGTCTTGAGAATCTGTTGCTGTTGGAAGCTCCTCTACGAAAGGACTGCCTGGAGTTGTTGTTAACAGGTAGTGGTGGTGTTGCCCCACGTAGATCTCCTGTAATCCGGACAAAATCTGGGAAGGGTGTGTTGCGTATGAAATGACAACGACATTGATGCCTTCTCTCCAAGGCGTAAGAATTTGGGAAGCGCTTTCTTTTTATCCTAAGTCTCCAACAGAATCCTTTCTAGAGGTTCACTGAAGAGTTTGTCGCCCTAAGTGACGACTATGGCTTTTGATTGATAGTCAGCAGGCCAAGATCTGAGCCACACTAGATGTCGTACAGCAGCGGTCGACGCCATGGCTCTGGAGGTGAGAACCATCGTGTCCAAGGTAGCATCTGCTGTATAAGAGATGGCTTTTAGAATTCTCGTAGCTCCCTCTATCAGTCCCCCCATCAGTCTTCGGTTGTCATCAGGTAGCATTCGGATGAGTTTCCTCATCCACACGATGGATGCTCTGGAGACCGTAGAGGCTGAAGCCGATGCCTTGATTGCCATGGCGTTAGCTTCGTGCGACTTCTTAAGGGCAAATTCCGCACGTTTGTTGAGATTGTTGCACAGGTTGCCGTGACCGTCCTCAGAGACTAGACTGGAAGACTGCAATGCCGTCACCGGGGCGTCTACCGATGGTACCTGCAATAAACTGGAAGCAAGTGAGGTGGTAGGGTACAATTTTTTTTCATAAACCTTGGAAAGGGTGTGTTAGACATAGGCCTTTGCCATTCTGCCTTTATTTTTCTGACGTAAAAACCAGGAAAAGGAAATGCCTGTTCTGAGTATTCCACTGGTGGAAAGAACTCATCAGTAATCTCATCGCCTTCCTCTGCTATGCCACCCCCTCTGTTAGCCGTGGGATGGGTATTTTGTATGTGTAAGGCTGATATGGTTTCAGACAATAAGTACATCCCCATCATCGGATGAAACTCCCCCTCCTCCTTCTCACTAGAGTTGAGGGACATACAGTCCTCTTCAGGAGGATCATATAGCTCCTTCTGAATAGGGAAACCCTTTTGAGCTGCCTTAGTAGGCCATGATCCCCTGACTTTATGTCTTCCCGGGGCCAGATTGCCCTCCCCGATTTTTGAAGCATGCAGTCTGGATCGCTTAAAAATGGCCGCCGTGAGTGGTGCGGCACCCTTCTTCATTTTGGCGTGCTTTTCTGTGCCGGGCTCTCCTTGCTCTTCTGGCACCTCCGCGGCGCTTCACTTTCGAGCCACGGCGTCCTTGGGCTCCTGCCCGGCCAGAATAGTTTCAGCGGGCTTAACATGCGGTGGTACACACTGTTGGCCCTCCCCGATTTTTGAACCATGCCGTCCGGATCGCTTAAAATGGCCTCCGTGAGCGGCACGGCGCCCTTCTTTATTTTGGCGCACTTTTCCGTGCCGGGCTCTCCTTGCTCTTCTGGCACCTCCGCGGCGCTTCGGTTTCGAGCTGCGGCATCCTTGGGCTCCTGGCCGGCCAGAATAGGCTCTGGCTTGGCTAAAAAGCCATCCTCTGTCTGCGTGGGATCCATATTAAGGAGTCATGCTTGTTTTATGCAGCCTATGGGGAGTTGCTGCAGATAGAATTCCCCAATCTTAGAGGGGAAGGGAGGGAGGGGAAGACTAAGATAGGATAAGTTTAGCAGTGAATTTAGAATTTTAAAAAAAGGAGTCAAGAGTAAGGAAAAAGAAAAAACTGTTAAAGGTTGGGAGGCTAACCTAACAAGCTGCTCTCCCTACTGAGGCAGGAAACGAAACTGAGACTGGGGTGACTCCCACCACAGGAAACAGGAAGTTTGAATTGTTCCTGCTTCCCTGAATGATGGATGGGAATCACCCACAAGATGGCCTCCGCCTCAGGGGAGAATAAAACAATCCTATGAAAAGCTATAGTCTACAGATCAGCTAGGACTGACCAAATGTTTGTGAAATTTATTTTTACTGTGAAGTTCACTCTGGGGACATGTGGAACTGTTTTTGTTTTTAAAATCCTCTCATTTTTTGGCTTGTTTTTTCATTCCAATAGCTACTGTTCCTTCCAAGTGTACTGTTGCTTCAGAAGCAGGAGAGAGAGAATACATCACTATTGCCCAGGCACTTGAGCCATCACACTCTGCTTTGCCACACTATGTTGGCAAATCCACTGTCCATTAACACTGCACATCAAGATATTTGCCTCACTATAACTATAGCCATGCAGTGTTATGCATAAAGCAGGCGGAGCAGAATGCATCCAGACCAGCAAGGCTCAGGTGACCAAAGCACATAGGTTGCTCATGAATGGATCTCACGTTGATTCTAGCCAGAGGAACCTGATGGTCATCAGGAAGGGTGTATACCAGAGGTCCCCAAACTTATTTGGCCTACTGCCCCCTTTTCAGAAAAAAATTTACTCAGGGCCCCCCTGGAAATCAACCATCAAAAAGGGTGACCAGAAAAAAGCCCACAGGAAAAAAGCCCACAGGAAAAAGCCCACGGTCATAAATGCTCAGAGGAAAAAAGCCCATATGAAAAAATGCCCATACACATAAAAGCCCACACGGAAAGAAGCCCACACGGAAAAATACCATGTAAAGCACCATAGATGTTTATAATGGTGGATAACCACTCATCTCCACTTATGAGAATGAACAGGTATTACCTATCTTATATATATATATATATATAATTCTCTTGACGTATTGGCCATTTCCAGCTCTCCCACTGGCTGTGCAGTGAGTCCACCATGATCCATGCGTAGAGTCCACCACGATCCACGCAGCCAGGCAGGCCAAGGCAGACACAGAGCAATAGCAGCTGAAGGACTGAAGTTGGAGGCCAGCAGCAGCCACCACACAATAGCCCAGCAGCAACACCAACCTTACAAGGATGCACATGCATTTGCAATTTGTAAATGCATGGCTGTGATTGACTGTGGGGACCCCTCTCCATCTCCACCTCCCTCCCTGATCCCAGGGAAGACCAGGAGAAGGCAGGAAAAGGCTGCTTTAGATAGGTTCTGGACTCTTCTTTCTTTATGCTTCCACTGCCCCCTTATTTTTATTCAACGCCCCCCAATTGCACCCAAGGCTCCTAACTGCCCGCCTGGATTGTTCCAGCGCCCCCCGGGGGGCAGTATTGCCCACGTTGGGAAGCAGTGGTGTATACCTACCCCAAAGGCTAGATAATGCCTACTGTTTTATAACTCTTCTACAGAGTTTACTGAACAGCTCGGGGGGAGGGGGGGGAGAGCAAGATTTTAAAAGATATCTTTAAAATTGGGGGTAATAAAATGGACATTTAATGAGTTCAAACGTTACCACAGAGTATAGGAAACACCTCCATATCTCTAAAACATTTCAAGGATTTGAATACAAGACAGTGAAGTTTACATTACAGAATCATTTGGTAACCATGTTTTGGGACTCTTCATCTGCATATTTTAGCTCAATAGATATTTCAGTTTGCAGACAGGCACCTATATTTCAAAACACAAGTATACCCACATCTAATTCATTTCTAACCTAGTACCTCTTAAATTTAAATCCTTTGCACATCTTTGTACATACGAAGTCTGAAGACAAAGTAATACAGGAAAGAAGCTTTCATCAAAAAATCGGAGAATTCTAAGATGGAGGGAAGTGAAGAAAAGACTTACTGTGCAGCTCACGATGTATCACATCTACTAAATTAGGTTCATCTCCCCACCAGAAAATCCATAACTCCTTACAATCCGGCTTGACATCACGACGCCAGACACAAAGCAGATTGGCCTGCAGACAGCGGATGAAGCTCAGAAGAATTGGATCATCTTGAGCAGGGGCTGAGATAATAGGGCCACAGTCTCCATGGCCTTCAAAGTTATATCTACGCCACTTGATGCCTGTGAGTTCCGCCTGCAGGAAACAAAATGGAAGTTTATTGAAACTCTGTAAGGAAAATTTGTATATACATTCACTTCCAAGCAAAAATCTTAAATCCCCAGGTTTATTTTATTGTAGTGCAATTGCATGCTGACCTTGGTGCTCCAGGATAGGAAAGTGCTGTTTAGTAAGTTTTACACACCTACAGAAAGATCAGTATGCATTGTTAAGAGCTCTTTTAGTATGCATTTTAAGAGCTATTTACTTCATTATAGTTTTTAAAAGTCAGTTTCATTGTTTCAGAACAATTTTTAGTACTTTAAGCACCAAATGTGTTGATGATTAAAGTACCTTTTTTGTTGTTTTATAACGTTTTAAAATCCTGACTCAATACTTGATTATCAATTAACGAAGCTATTTTTGGACAGAAATGCCCATTCCTACCTTATACTAAAATCAATGGAACAAGAGCTTTGCAAAATTGATTGTTCCTTATAATAGTTCATTTTTTAAAAAAACAAAACAGGCCCTATTAGTGCTCCTCATTAAACTTTCAGTACCTCTTTAAAAGTAAAAGAGTATTGGTATTTATGTAGCACGGGTTCAAGGTTAATCCTGCACAAAATCAATAGGGAGATGCTTTAAAAAAACTAGGCATATTTCCATACAACGGAATCCTCCTCCTTTAGAATTTACCATGCTGTGGAGGTAGACAGAATTTTGTGTAATGAAGAAGCCACAGAAATAGGTACATGAAAACCAAGATGTTAAGTAACTGTAGTTTCATTTTCAGGGGCAGGTTGCAATTGACAGTGCTGTTTCTATCAGTGGGTCCACTAAAATTCCAAAAACGACTGCTGCAAACAGTCCCTGGACTAGCTATGACGCCATTTAGTTCCTTACAAAACGGAAACAGAGAGACTCTCTTAAGCTACTTAACATTAATAAAAATGGTGGGGGGTATTTTTATTCATTTCAGTTCAATTTATAACATTATGACCTATTCTGAAATTACATTTTTAAACCATTTGGCTTTGTAAAGCTTCTTCATCAATTTCCAAATACATACAGCTGCTACAGGCATACACAAGACTAAAAGAACAGGATTACTATACAGACTGTTCATTTATTTTAATGTAGTATCAGAAATCTTGACTGTTAGATACTACTCACTCTGTTCGAAAGTACAAAATACATTTCAGAAAACATTTGGCATATTAGGAAAAATAAAAAGCAGTTCCCTTGTTTTAACAGCAAACAAACATTTACGCTTCACTTATCTATATTCTGCCTACTGATGGAGACAAATTTGTGAAACAGATAAATGAAAATTCATGTGCATTCATCCTAATTCATTATGTGAATTATTAGATTGGTACATCTAATGGCCCCATTCCCTTGTGCCTGGCACATCTACTATGTTCTTCATATGCTCCAATATGGGAAGAGTTAAGAGCAAGATATTAAGACAATATAAATGTTAAAACACAAAGAAAATGGTAAAATTCCTACCATCACCAGTGAGCACAGCAGATTTAATTCTGGACTATGACCAGAGTCCTAAAAGAACAGAGATAGCTATAGTTTAACTCGTATGGCCCCAAGGGCTGCCATCTGATCTTCTCCCATCTCAAGACAGGCATTTCAGGCAGCAGTGAGGCAGGGTACAATATATTTCCAATTCCACAGCATCACAAAAATAGTGTTACCATATCTGTCCACGGGTCAGGACTGTGTCCCGACAATATCCCCTACACATGAAAAAACCCTAATACAAGTCTTGGGGCAAAAATGGAACTTAAATCTAACGTATACATGACTCACAGTTCTGCACAATACATCTTTGAGAAGAGGAAAAGGTGGAAAGGAGGCAAGTGCTTAACCAGCAAATAACTTTATCGCCTTATCCAAGATACAGAAAATGATGCAGAAAATTCAAGTTAAAAATACAAGACTTGAAGCAATTACAGTAAAATGATGGCAATTTGTATCCACTTATAAATAAATCCTAGTGAGTGACTGCATTACTTTTCTGTTAGTTGTATGCTTGGTTTTAAGTTATTTCGAATTTTGTTCCTCCTACTTGATTAAAGGTAAAGGTTCCCTTGCTCAAAAGCCAGTCGAATCCGACCCTAGGGTTGCAGTGCTCATCTCCGTTTCAAAGTCGAAGAGCCAGCGCTGTCCGAAGACGTTTCCGTGGTCATGTGGTCAGCATGACTAAACACCAAGGCGCACGCTGTTACCTTCCCACCAAAGTGGTATCTATTTATCTACTTGCAATGTCTTGCTTTCAAACTGCTAGGTTGGCAGGAGCTGGAACTAGAGACGGGAGCTCACTCCGTCTTACGGCACCTGGGTCTCAAACTGCTGAACTACTGACCTTCCACAGCCTGAAGTTCAGCGTCTTAACCACTTGAGCCACCGCAGCTCCTTGATTGGTCCCAAGCAAAAATCAACCTAGACGAAGGAAATAGGTGAGGGGCTGTCCACAAATGGGACCAAAAGATGCAGTAGGATAAATGGGGAAGGGGTTTCAGTTAGGAAGGAATCTATAACCTAAGCAGGATACAATGGAGAAGAGCTAACTGGCAATAGGGTAGACTGGTCCAGAACAGGGAATGGAAAAGGGAAAGCTAACAAACAATGAATGGGTGAAAGGACTTGGAAGGGTTAATACCAGGAAGGACAACAAAATGGGAGAGAAGAAACCATACTCCGCCTGCCTGGAAGAGGAGGGGTCCAGTGATTTCATGTTTGTAATGGATTAATGTTCTGGAGGGGAACCAACCACAAAGATGAAGGGCTTGGGCCACTCTTTTTATTCACCTGGGTGCCACTGGTGCACACTTAGGATCTGCACTAACATTGGGTAAAAGCTCTGTAACCTGGCTGCTCATTGGTGCACTTTTGGCTATGTTCAGAGTGGAGCAGTTTTTAGAATGAAGGACCAGATCCCCAACTGATGCTGAGTCCAGGATCCTGGCTGTGATAAGATGGTTCAATCCTCCTAATATAAAAGAGGGCATCTGAAGATGCCCAGGAAATGGGCTGGAGGGACTATCCAAGACAGTTTTGCAAATCAAGTTTGCAGATAATACCAAATTATTCAGGATGATGAAAACAAGGTGGATTGTAAAGAGCTATAGGAGGATCTCTCTCAATTGGGAGAGTGGGCCATCACATGGCAAATGAAATTCAATGTGGGCAAGTACATATGGTGATGCATAATGGAATAGTATATGCTGATGGGGTCTGAACTGGCTGAGACCAAAACTGAAAGAGAACTTGGGTTTGTTGCAGAAAGCTCAACTGAAATATCAACCCAGTGTTTGGCAGCACTGAAAAAAGTAAACTCCACACCAGAATTATTAGGAAAGGGACTGAAAATAAAATGGCCAATCTTGTTACGCCCTTGTATACAAAATTATATATATAAAGCTTGTATATAAAGTATATACGCCCTTGTATATAAAGCTAAGGTGCAGCCTCCATCTGGTCACTGTAACTCAAAAACAATATTGCAGAACTAGAACAAGTATAAAAAAGGGCAACCAGATTATTAGGGGCTTAGAGTACCTTTCCAATGAGGAAAGGTTGCAGAGTCTGGGAATTTTCAGTCTAGAAAAAAAGGCAGCTAAGACAAGACATAATAGATGTTTATAAAACACTGCATGGGGTAGAGAAAATGGATAGATGGAGCTTTTTCTCCTTCTCCCATTATACTAGAACTCAGTGCCTTTAATAAAATTGTTGGGAAATAAGTTCAGAACAGACAAAAGGAAATACTGCTTTACCCAACAAGTAATTTAATTGTGGAATTTACTGCCAGGGGAGGTACTAATGGGCAGGAGCATAGATAGCCTTAAAAGCAGGCTAGGCAAATTCATGGAGCTGAGGTCCATCAACAGCTACTAGCCATGGTGTCTGAAGAAAGCAAACTTCTGAATACCAGTGCCAAGAGGCATCAGCAGGAAAGGACGTCAGCCTCTATGTTCGCTTGCCCTCTTATGGTTGTGATGACTGGTGACTGAATGTGAATGGGGAAGATCTAGACTTGTATCTGCCAACATTAGTTGGGCTGATGGGAGCTACCTTGTGAAGGTGTCCTGGAGGTTTAAGCCAAAGCGCTAGATTGATGTTCTTCTGTCGTTTTCAGGCAGTTGACTACTTCCACTTGGTAGAGACTGGGAAAGCTTTCTGCCTTAAAAGAGCCTGTTTTTAATACCAAACTAGGTGCATTTCCCCACACATTAAACACCTGAAGGCCAAATGATCTTGGTGTGCAACTGAAACATATCTTAACATGGGAGGCACTACGCTATAATATCTAGGCACAAAGGGTATTTTTTTAAAAAAACTGCATTCTTAAACAGAAACTTCAAATATTTCAGCCAACAAGCAACCCGAAATGTTTACTAACCTTTAAGATAAATCACAGGAAAAAAAGACAGGTTGCTTACCTGTAACTGGTGATCTTCGAGTGGTCATCTGTGCATTCACACCCTTGGGATACTCTGCGCCTGCGCTGACCTTCTCGGTACCGATAGCTAGCAAAAGGGATTTTCGCGCCTCTCCCAGGTCACGCGCCGGCTCCACTGCGCATGACCAAGGAGGGGCACGCAGATCCCGCCAGTTCCTTCTGACCGCCGCCCAACAGCCTTCAAAGAAACAAGATGAAGGGCCGAGAGCAGAGGGGAAGGAGGGCGGGTGGTGTGAATGCACAGATGACCACTCGAAGATCACCAGTTACAGGTAAGCAACCTGTCTATCTTCTTCGTGGTCTCTGTGCATCACACCCTTGGGAGAATAGCAAGCAATAACTCTTACCTGGAGGAGGGGCCGAGGCCCTACACCTGCGCCGTCTGCAAAATAGACCGACCCAACGCCACACGACGAGTAGACCGGACATCAAGGGCATAATGCTTCACGAAGGTGAGCGGAGTAGCCCAAGTCGCAGCGTTGCAGATGTCCTCCAATGGCATCCCTCTCAGGAAAGCTGTGGAAGCCGCCACCGCCCTTGTAGAGTGGGCGCGAAGTTGACCTGGAAGAGGTCTCTTAGCCAAAGCGTAACATAGCTTGATTACTTCCACAATCCACCTGGACAGCGTCTGGGAAGAGATCTTCTTCCCTAGGGAGGGCATACTGTGAGCAACAAACAAGGCTGGAGACTGACGAAAAGACTTGGTCCTGCCCAAATAGAACAGCAACGCCCTCTTAACATCCAGAGAGTGCAATTTCCGTTCCTCTTCATTGGCAGGAGACGGGAAAAATGACGGCAAAACTATATCTGAACGT